TCAGAATGGTTAAATATACATATTTACCAACACTACAATCAACCACAGAATCAACATCAGAAAGCTGAAGAATCTTAGCAATCTATTTAGAACACGTACTCAACAAAACCTATGCTGGAAAAAAAAACAAAAAACAAACAAACAAAGAAACCTACGCTGACCAAATACACAAACTGCTTTACCTTGATCTGGTCCACTCAGGCCCTACGTGGAGCCCGGCATTTGTGAATGGACTTTGCACACTCATGTCAGCTGAAGGAAAATCTCTCTACTCACTACCAAACTAGATCTGCAGCTTAAAAACATCTAATTTCAGGCTTCCCTGGTGGTTCAGTGGTTAAGAATCCACCTGCCAGTACAGGGGACTCGGGTTCAATCCCTGATCTGGGAAGACCCCCCCATGGTGCAGAGCAACCAAGCTCATGCGCCACAATTACTAAGCCAGTGCTCCAAAGCCTGTGAGCCACAACTACTGAAGCCCACGGGCCCAGAGCCGGGGTTTCACAACAAGAGGAGCCACCGCAGTGAGAAGCCCTGCTCACAGCAGTGAAGACTCACCACAGCCAATATATAAATAAATACATCTTTAAAAAAAAAAGTCTAATTTCACCCATGTCTGCTACAGTTCAGTTCAGTTCAGTTCAGTCACTCAGTCGTGTCCGACTCTTTGCGACCCCATGAATCACAGCACGCCAGGCCTCCCTGCCCATCACAAACTCCCGGAGTTTACTCAAACTCATGTCCATCGAGTCAGTGATGCCATCCAGCCATCTCATCCTCTGTCATCCCCTTCTCCTCCGGCCCCCAATCCCTCCCAGCATCAGGGTCTTTTCCAATGCAAACTCAAAAGGCTGCTTGTCACTCTCTGTATCAAGTTACAGTTTAAGTCCCAACTGTTGCTTCATGATTTTCTCTCCTTCTAATCTTCTAATTCCTTACAGAACCGCTTCCCCTACCTGCCTACTGCATATGCTACAGTTCCTCATAGCTTGGTCCTGGGCCCTCCCTTATCACGCTACATTCTCACTCGAGTTTATCTCAACCTATCCCATAATTTGAAATTTCATCTATATGCTAGCAGCTTTCAGACTTATTTCTCTAACTCTTAGAAACTATCTTCTAAGCTCCAGACCTATATATTCAACAGCCTGTCTGATATCTGTCTCAGAGATGTCAGACACAGGGCAGGAAACCCTACTAGGGATCTGCACTTGCCCAAATGCGCTCCTCCACTAATCATATGTATCTTGGAAAATGACACTTCATTTACCCAGTTGTCTGTGCCAGAAACCTGGAAGTGCTTCCTGACACACTTTTTCAATGACTCTTGTATCCAGTTTATTAGCAAAAGAAGTGAAAGTGAAAGTCACTCAGTCATGTCCAACTTTTTGCGACACCATGGAATTCTCCAGGCCAGAACACTGGAGTGGGTAGCCTTCCCCTTCTCCAGGGGATCATCCCAACCCAGGGATCAAACCCAGGTCTGCCGCATTGCTGGCGGATTATTTACCAGCTGATCCGCAAGATTACACACACACACACACACACACACACACATACATGTGGAAATGGAGAAAAGTGAAGTGATTATATATATCTACCACCACCTGCCTGCTTGCCTGCTAAGTGGCTTCAGTCATGTCCAACTCTTTGCAACCCTATGGACGATAGCCCACCAGGCTCCTGTATCCACTGGATTCTCCAGGCAAGAATACTGGAGGGGGTTGCCACGCCCTTCTCCAGGGGATCTTCCCTACCAGCATCTCTTATGTCTTCTGCATTGGCAGGTGGCTTCTTTATCACTAGCGCTACCTCCATCACCTTAAACCTATTCCTAGCTATTTATCATACATTACTCAGACAGTAGTTTTCTAAGTATTCGGCCCACATCCTCTCAAACACTTTCTAATCCATTCTCCACAATGTAGCCAAGACAACCTCTAAAACCACAATTTTTTCATAGACACTTATTCATTGATACATATACATAACTTCAAACTCTTCAGTTACATTGCACCTAAGATAAAATCCAAACTCCTCAATCTACTTTATGTCAAAAGAAGTCTCATGGACACAAGCATTAGGAAAAGAATTTCCTCAGACAAATACTTGCAAAGTTTACATGTGAGTTAAGGCTTAAGAAGGACTGGTCCATCAAACACTCTCCCCACCACCCAAGGTTATAAGGTTTATAGTCAGCAGATTCATGACTGAAGAAGAGCAGTTTTCTCATATGACTTCCGTATTCCCCCAAATTCTTGCATATTTTCAGACTTGCAAAAGTCAGCCCTGCAAATGTCATTGGTTGAGTTGTTTTGTTAGGGAATTAATAACATGGGAAACATTGAAGGTTTCATTCACTTTAGAGACCTACAGGTAGTGTGACACAGATTTTGTTTGCTTGGTTACCTCAGAGTGCAATTGTTTTGCTTTTTCCTAACTGTGTTGTCTACACTTACATTGAAAACAGGGCAAGGCACCAGTCTTGCTTTACATGGATAAACCTGGGCGTGATCTGGCTACTTCTTATGTCTTCAGCCTCAACCCATGCTACTCTCCCCATCAGTTCTTACATTCCAGCAAAATGAGTTTCAGGTTCACAAAGCTCTTCCCCAGCATACTGTCCCTTCCATCCTATATACACTCCACTTTAGCATTTACCTAGCCAAATTTTACTCATCTTCCCAGTGGCAACCTAAATATCACTTCCTTCAAATTCCACTCTAAATTAAGCTCTCATATTATTCAATGATAGTGTTCTGCACTGTCAGTTAGGATACTGTTGATTGCCAGTAACTAAAACACCGATTCAAATGCATTGCTAGGGTCTTTAAGGCCAGGAGAGTTTGGGCAAGAATAATAACATTCATCACTAAATTTACTTTTGTCTAATGCTCACTTTATAAACCTTAAAATGTATTAAACAGTATTTCCTGGAAATATAATACAGTATCCACTAACCATATGTGCCTACTGAACACGTGAAACATGGCTAATGTAACTAAGGAAATAAACTTTAAATTTTGTTTATTTTTAATTAACTTAAAATTTTAACTTTAAACTGATAATTGATTCAATTACTGGAAAACTTATAAATATGTTTGGAAAATTCAAGTATGTGGATCATTTTTTTTTTTTGGCTGTGCTGTGGGGCATGCAGGATCTTAGTTCTCTGACCAGAGATTGAATCAAGGCCCCAGCAAAGAAAACATCGAGTCTTAACCACTGGACTGCCAGGGAATTCCCTGGATCTATTTTTTTTTCAATGCCAAATTTTATGAAATTTAAGTCCAAGTCCAATGGTTCCAATTAAAATCAAGCAACTGAATTAAGTATGTAAGTGTAAAATACATACTGCATTTGCAAGACTTACTATGAAAAAAAATGTGAACTATCTCAATTTTATATTGATTATACATTGAAGATATTTTTAATATATTGGGTAAAACAATTATATTAAACTAATTGCATCTACTTCTTTTTATTTAATGTGGTTACTAGAAAAATTTAAATTACCTACATACCTAGTATTATGTCTATATTGGACAACTAATCAAAACATAAATTTAATGAAGTTTCCACTTAAAGGTTTTGAGGGAGGTGGGAGAAAACACAAATATCAAACTGGTATTTTTTAAAAGATAGATGTATAACATGCTGAAGCTGGATTGGAGCTTGGGATCAAGAGTGGATGACATATTGGATAAAACAGGAATTTATTCCAGCAAAGTGAGGCTATTGGTTTGGTCTAGAATGGAGGTTGTGGAGATGAAGCCCATACATATAAGAGGCACTAGGTAAAATGGACAGTGTTTACAAATCTATTTAATCAGTTTCTTCTCTGGTTCACTCAAAACACTGGTTACAAGCTAATCTAATCACATTCTATAATTTAATGAAAACACTAATTTAAATGTACTTAATCGAATTCTACAATCAAAAGGTTGATTACAAATTTAATCCAATTTTTCAACAATTTTATTAAATCACAAATCTAGCAGATTCTCATATGCTTCAAAGACCCCCCCAAAAAAACAAAACAAAACCCACACAAAATACATGAACTAGCACAATGATTACAGAATTCACTGCAACGTTTCTATTTAAGCTGGTCACAAAAGTAGCACAGATATGACGAACGAACGAAAAGTAGCAGCTTTTCGAAAAGTAGCTTACTGAGCAGCCAATTTGGGTTAAGGAATGAACCCATAGTCTCATTCATGGTAATCTAGATTAGAAAAAGAGACGGGCCAGGCCCACCTGGCAGAGGACAAGTCCGGGGTTCGGGAGCGGAATCAGGCTCAGGAAAAGATGGCTATAATTGGCCAAAATTCCCATGCCAGTCATGGGCTACAAAGGCTTCCCTTATAGCTCGCTCGGGAAAGAGTCTGCCTGCAATGCAGGAGACTTGGGTTCGGTCCCTGGGTCAGGAAGATCCCCTGGAGAAGGAAATAGCAGCCCACTCCGCAATTCTTGCCTGGAGAATCCCATGAACAGAGGAGCCTGGCAGAGTCGGACACTACTGAGCGACTTTTCACTTCACTTCTGACCCATGTCAGTCAGCGGCCAGGCCCCGAATCCGAGCCTCAGTCGCCCCTAAGATGGGCGGGGCGGATACGCCCTCCACCTATTTATCCCCGCTCCTGGGCGGCTTCAGGTTCAATAGCCTCAGGCCCTCGGAGAGGTAGGACTACGAATCTTCCGAACCCTCCCTTAAAATCGGGGAACCTAAACCACAGGAGGAGCGTTCTCAACGCACAGGCCCTCCCGCGGGGAAAGTTTCCGGAGCAGGGGGCGGGGCTGCCGGAAGTCGCCGGTCGCCGTCTGCTGTTCGTTGTTTGAGCGGCTGACGGGAAGGAGAAGCCGGAGCTCCGGCGGCGCTGCGGGGCTGCAGTCACGACCGGAGCCCGAGCCGCCGCTAGTCTCTGGACGGACTATAAGCCAGGAGTACCGGCTGTGGAGAGGCGGGGCCCGACGGCCGCTCCCCTTCTCATCTCACCATGTCGCGGGGCTCTATCGAGATTCCCCTTCGGGACACTGACGAGGTTAGTGTCGAGCATGGGGGAGGGTGGGGGCCGTGAACTTGGACGATCTCCCCTTCTCCCTTTCTCTCGACTTTGCTTCCGAAGTAATTCTCTCTCCCAGATCGAACTCCCCTACCGAAGCTCCGACCACTTCTTCCCCAGCCCCGGCACCCTCCCAGGCTGGGAACATCAGGTCCCCGAAGCCTTGAGGCCACCCCGAGGAGTTCTTGAAAGTTCCCCTCCAACCTGTTCGTATTTGACAGTCCTCTGCTCTTCCTAATTCAGAGGCGCGGGAGTGTGAGCGAGCGTGATCAAATGTGAGGCACCTCACAGGTCACAGAGATGGACACTTATGTCACCGTGTTCTCTCTGCTGCTCAAACTAAGTATCTCTCCCCTGGAATATGTAGGATGTCACCCTTCGTCCCTTAGAAACGCGAGTGTCGCTACACAAGGCTCTCTCAGCCAAATAGAGACCACAAGCCGCTGCTGTGTGCTGATAGAATTGCCCACTCTCCCTTCCTGTCTCCTCTTTTATGGATGTCCAGTAGCTTGTCTGAGTAAAGCTCTCAGAACTGGTGTTGTTTTATTGGCTATCTCATATTCCTGTTTGTTTGTTTGATTGAGGTACAATATTGAGATGTGTTTCATTTACCATAAAATACAGTGGTTTTTAGTAATATTCACAAAGCAGTGTAACTACCACCACGATCTAATTCTAGGAAATTTTTCTACTGTTATTTTTGTGCCACAGTCAGGAGTGTGTGTGACACAAATGCTGCCTCCATGATGAATGTGTGCAGTGGCAACTCAAGATTGCTTGCTTCTAGGATTGTGCTTCTTGTCAAACCGATGGCATCAGAGTCTCTGGGGTGCTTATCTACATTTTACCTGCATTATGCATTAAGCAGAGTTTCGTTTCATTTTTTTCAGAGCTTTTTATAGTTCTAGTGATTTGAAGACAGCTAGCAGGATTTGTTTGCTATGCTTTTATTTTACTATTCCATGTAATGTATTTGGCATATGCTCCTTAAATATTTCTTAACATAAACTTTTTTAGCCTTACAGAAAGTGAACACAAATCCTATGTATTAAAAAAAAAAAATTCTATGTATAACCAGACTGAAGAATCTCTGGGAAAAGAGCAGTCAGAGGAGAAACATGAATTTCAAAAAGAAAAACAGGGACTTCCCTGGCACCTTATGGTTAAGACTCTGCATTTCCACTGCAGAGGGCACAAGTTCGGTCCCTGGTTGGGATATAAGATCCCACATACTGTGGTGGCATGGCCAAAAAAAAAGAAAAATAAGAATTAAAACCTACATTTTGTATTTTAGGTCATTGAACTTGATTTTGATCAGTTACCGGAGGGAGATGAAGTTATCAGTATTCTGAAACAGGAACACACACAACTGCACATATGGATTGCTTTGGCGGTGAGTATTCATGTAACAAATACTTTTTATATGTTGACTGGGAAAAAATGTGGTTTCTGTTTTCAGATACAGTAATAACCAGCTTTGGTGAATGATAGTACCATGTATGTGGAAGTTAATTATATTATATTCCAGTTTCCTAAGTGGTCTGCTGGCCTCTGGTAAATTAGAATATGTTGGTAAAATTCACTTAAGCCAAATAGTACTCAGTATTGAACATTTGATTATTTAGTGGTTATTCAGTGAGGACTGGCTTATGATTTGTAAATAAACTGAGAAAAAACAAGGTGCCACAATGTAAACAGTCTAACACCCTCTATGCTCCTCAGTACTAGTTGCATGATTGTGTTTCTTTTTTGTGGGAACATTATAGGAAATGATTATAGTAATGAAATATAGTGAATACTTTAATCATTATTCCTAAGCAAGTTTGCCACAGGTCACTTTTCATGTAAGGATATAAACAAGGCATCTAATGTTATCTTGAATAGTCAGAGAAATAGATCTGGAATTAGGTTTGTGTCCATTGCTCAAGCCTAACTCTTGAGTTTCTTAGGCATGGATTTACAGAGAGGTACTATCAATGACAAGCAGTGCCTTCCTGACTCGAAGTGCTAAGTTTTCGTAGTCTTTGGAAAGCAGGCCATTAATGCTTTTCACTCATTTTTTTAAAACCAGAAGGGTACTTAAGTTTTTTTTTAGTACGAATGCCTCCTTTCACAGCACTTATATGAAAATTGGAGTCTTGCAGGGTTAGCATGACACTTGTAGCAAGATAAATTCATGAACCATTGTGGGCTACAGGTTGTTAAAACAAGAAAGAATGTAGGCTTTGGGATTAGAAAGGCCTTTGTTCAAACTCCAGCTCAGCTGCTAATTCCGTGACCTTCAACAAATGATCTATCTTCTAAGCTTATTTCCTCATCTAAAATAGGGGGTTGTTAACACTGAATTAAAAGATAGTTGTACAGATTAGAGATAATGTCTGTGAAACTCCTGGCATTGTTTGTGGCCCAAAGTAAGGGGCTAATGATGGATATTCCTTATATTATTAACAAATGAAACAGATATCCACAGAAGTTATTCAACCGGCCCAAAGTCATAGATAATTTTTGGTGGATCTAGAACTAGAACCCAAGTTTTTTGTTTGAAATTCTTTATACCTCTCACTATATCTTCTCTCTTTGGCTCTGATTTAGTTTGAAATCAATTATTGCTGATTAAGGCGATGGAAACATTTGTAGTGATTTAATTTTTTAAGCAACTTGATTAGGTATAATTCACTGTAGTAAACTGCAGACATGACTGAGCTACTGAATACAACACAGACACTTGAGAAGTTTTAGCACATATATACACCTGTGAAATGATCACCATATTTAAAATAACACATATATCCATCGCGCCTGAAACTTTCCCCCCAACTCTCCCTTCCCCACCCTCCCATAGTGCCCAGGCACTTATTAATATTATTATGTATGATCAGGTAAATTAAGTCAGATTTCTTTGAATTTATGAAAGAGGAGAAAATTGCTAAATGAAAGCAAAATAGTGCACATGCAAGCCCTGATCAGCTTTTTGTCACTAAAGATTAGTTTGAGGTTTATCCACATAGTCGCGTATATCCAGTAGCTCCTTTTTACTGCTGAGCAGTAGCCATTGTACAGTTAGACTACGGATTGTCCGTTCACCTTTTCATCAACAGTTTGGTTGTTTCCAGTTGGGGCCTATTACATATAAAGCCTCTGTAAACATTTGTGTACAACTTTTTGTATGGACATAAAATAATTCTAACTTGATTATTTGCCTTATAGCTGGAATACTACAAGCAAGGGAAAACAGAAGAGTTTGTCAAGTTGTTGGAAGCAGCGCGTATAGATGGCAATTTGGATTATAGAGACCATGAAAAAGACCAGATGACTTGCTTGGATACATTGGCGGCCTATTATGTTCAACAGGCTCGTAAGGAAAAGAATAAGGACAACAAGAAGGATCTTATTACACAGGCAACCCTATTGTATACAATGGCAGATAAAATTATTATGTATGATCAGGTAAATTAAATCAGATTTATTTGAATTTATGAAAGAGGGAAAAATTGCCACATGAAAGCAAAATGTGTGTAATAAGCAACAGAGTTTCTAAAATAAATTTTTTTAATATGGTTGATAAGAATAGTCAAAAAGGAGAAGGGTTCCTTATTAAAATAGAAATTTCTTATACTGTTGAATTAATATGGGCAGATTTAGCATAGAAATTTATAAACATGTTGAGTTGGTAATTCTAACATCCTCAGGTGAATTTCAAATGTATTTTAAGGAGTTTGAACTTTTCTTTTTGTCATTTTTCCTGATATAGACAACTTGCATTTTGGGATAATTTCTCAATTTGTAATTAACAATTGCTTACTGATAGTTTAAACACACTATAGTGATAGAGGAATTTGTGTGATGTTCAACTTCTCTCCTGTATGGTTTTCATTTTCATGTTACACATTTGTCTTAAATCATGGTTAGTCCTGGGTAAAGTCAAGTGTAAAATGGTACATTACTTTTTTAGAACCATTTGTTGGGAAGAGCCTGCTTCTGCCTTCTTGAAGGTGACAAAATGGATCAAGCTGATGCACAGTTTCATTTTGTACTCAACCAGTCTCCAAATAATATTCCAGCACTGCTTGGTAAGTCATTTTCAGCAACCATCTTAGGAATCTTTATTTTTCAGCATGTGCCTAAAATATATCTCTTTGTTGATAGCTCCTTAGTACCTGGGCTGGGCAGCAAAATAGAAGAGCTTTACCTTATTAAAAATAAAACCCTCGTGGGATGGGGAGGTGACTTCCCTAGTGGCCAGTGGTTAAGAATCCACCTGCCACTGCAGGGAGCATGGGTTCAATCCCTGGTCCGGGAAGATTCCCCATGCCATGGAGCAGCTAAGCCCATGTACCTCAACTACTGAGCCTGAGTGCTTTAGAGCCTGTGCTCCACAACAAGAGAATCCACCACAATGAGAAGCCCATGCACCGTAAAAAGGAGCTCCCATTCACTGCAACTAGAGAGATCCTACTTTTAGTAACAAAGACCCAGTGCAGCTAAAAATAAATAAAATTTTAAAAAGCAAAAAAACTCTTGTAGGGAGTTCCCTGGTGGTCCATTAGTTGGGACTTAGTGCTTTCATGGCCAAGGACCTGGGCCACCCAGCATGGCCAAAAAAACAAAAATGGAAAAAACTTACTGCAGTAGATCATCATTTCTGTTGAATTTACAGAAATAGAATATATACTAGTTAAGCATAATTTATAATGTACTTCTAGAGAGTCAGTAAACAATCTATTTGGACAACTCTAAGCTAATTTTTGTTTTATAACATTTCACATAAATATAGGACTGTTCTATTTATAGACATAGGCTAATACATCCTTATGGAAAGCAAATTTAAATATGAAATCGTTTTTACTATTTTTGATTGTTTTTTACTGGGAGATATATTTGATCTAGGTGAGTTAGTGGAGAGTATATAACACTTGAGTTCTTTAATAAGTGCATGTTTATTTTTAAAAATCATTACAGGTAAAGCTTGCATTTCTTTCAACAAGAAGGATTACAGAGGCGCTCTAGCTTACTATAAGAAAGCTTTGCGGACTAACCCAGGTTGTCCAGGTAAAAGAAAAACTTCAAGTCTAAGCTGTAAATGATCTAACTTAAAATATTGATATTTGATTCAAAGGCTGAGTAGAAGTAGTTCTTAATATATCTTTTTGCCCTATACTTTTTTCTTTCCAAAATCACATTTATTTAGCAAATTTTGAAATTAAATGTCAACTGTTTCCAGAAGGAGAGGGTGTCAGACTGTTTCAAATTCTGTTGTTAGGCCAAGTAAAATAGGGAATGAAAGTTGCTCATCGGATCTGGCAACGTACAAATCATTAGTGACCTTGATAAAAGCAGTTCTCTTGGAATGACAGAGGTGAGATACTCCTCGGAGTGGAGTCCAGAGAGAAAAGGGAAGGAAAGGAATTGGAGGCAGCAAGTGTAGAATCTAAGGAGCTTGACTTTCTAGGGAAAGTAGGAATGAAGTGACACTGGAAAGAGAAATGGAATCAAGAGAGGATTTTTTAGGATAGGAGAGTGTGTATGGATGAGAATGATCTAGTTGAGAGGGAAATTTTGATGATGCAGGAAAAAGAGGGGAGGGTTGCTGGTGCAGTGACCTTAGATGAGAAGGGGTAGCATCTAGTGAGCACTGGAGAGGTTGGCCTTTGATAAGAACATGGTTGACTTTTGGCATGGCTTTGAAGTTGGGAAGCATTTATAAGCTTGGTTCTGCAGATATGCATGTAGCCGGTCACTTTATTTAAGGCTATAATGAAGCTCTCTGTTTAAAAAATTGCTCTTTAAAAATTAGATCTTGGAGGTACAGTATAGCCAGACATATTGGAAGACTGACCTCTAGTTTTCTGACCTCCAGTGAAGTCAAGATTGTGATACATCCAGAGATTTTATAGTGTGATTATATTGAGGTTAATTCTGGGATTTTGCAACTTACAAATAGTGTTTAAGCATTTTAAAAAATTTGAGTCCCAAGAATGCCTTAGTTTGACAGGCTAAATAACTTGATATTATTTTTGTAGCGGAAGTTCGTTTAGGAATGGGCCATTGCTTTGTGAAACTTAACAAACTGGAGAAAGCTCGTCTGGCATTCAGCAGAGCCCTGGAACTCAATTCCAAGTGTGTGGGAGCATTGGTGGGACTGGCTGTTCTAGAACTCAATAATAAAGAGGTGTGTGATTTAAAAAACTGTTTAGTTTCTGACTGTTTTGTCAAGTAAATAGTATTAAATAATATATTGAATTATATCTCAACAGAGCTGTTAAAAAATGCAATCTTTTGGAGTCTTTTCTATTATTTGCCTTGGGGATTAGCAGTAAATTGTTTAGGACAGTGATATCAAGTATATTTATTACATTCACCCAATTTCAAAGGACAGGAAATGCTTTCCAGTGGCAGTGTTTCTGCAGTAAAGTCTGTTAAGAAAGCTAAATTCTAAAAGTTTAACTCACTATTTGAATTTATTTCCATTATTTTTCCTTTAATTTTTATAGTTTTTAAAGATTACTTTCCATTTGCGTTATTACAAAATCTTGGCTATATTCTTCATGTTGTACACTACATCCTTGAACATAGCTTATGCCACCCACTTCCCAACCCCCCTATTGTCCCTCCCCTCCCTAACTGGTAACCAGTAGTTTGTTCTCTATATCTGTGAGTAGGCTTCTTTTTTGTTATATTTACTAGTTTGTTGTATTTTTTAGATTCATACAGCATTTATCTTTCTGTGACTTATTTCACTTAACGTAATGCCTTCCAAGTCCATCCATGTTGTTACAAATGGCAAAATTTCATTCTTTTTTATGGCTGTGTTGTATTCCATTGTATGTATATGTGTGTGTATCACATCTTTATCCATTCACCTGTTGATGGACACTTAGCTTATATATCTTGGCAATTATAAATAATGGTGCTATGAACTTTGAGGTAGTGTTTCCTATTAATATTTTTGTTTTTTCAGCTGTATACCCAGGAGTGGAATTGTTGGGTCATATGGTAGTTCTATTTTTAGTTTTTTCAGAAAACTTCATGCTGTTTCTATAGTGGCTGTGCCAATTTATAATCCCACTATCACTGACATTTTTTATTGCTGGTGAGAAAGTTAAAATGAACTATATTTTGGTATCTGAACTTAGATTTATATAATCTTATTTCTTCAGACTAGAAAGGAAACTTTGAAAAAGTGCTATTTAAGTAATGTTTCACTCATCCCTGCCATCACTGTGTTTCTTTTAGGCTGATTCCATCAAAAATGGTGTCCAGCTTCTTTCCAGAGCCTATACTATTGATCCTAGCAACCCTATGGTATTAAACCACTTAGCAAATCACTTTTTCTTCAAAAAGGTAGGAGAAATCATTTATTAAAGATGTTTAATTTTAAATCCTTATCTTTGCTTTTCTGCACTGCGGTTGACACTTTTATCTTTTTAACTTCAAAAGAAATTTGAATCAAGAGAGTTTTTTCAAGTTAGAGTTTGTATTAGTATCTAGGTATGTCTATCTGTTCATTCAATCATTTAATAATTATTGACCCTGTATACTGTATCCAGTGTTGTGATGGAGGTGTGAAATTCAGTAAGACAGTTTTTGCACTCAAGGAGTTCAGTTTCATAGAAAACCCAGACTTGTGAACAAATGTAAATGTAAAAATAAAGGTCTCTACCCTGCTGTGGTAGAGAAATGAAAGAGGAAATGATTAAGTGGTTAAGAAAAGTGTTTACCACCAAGAAGGAAAATGCTCTTGAGCTACGTTTTTAGAAGATGATCACTAGGTAGCTGAAAGAAGAAAGGCACAGCTCTATGAAATAGTCTTAGTAGTTTTTTGCTTGTTTATTTTTGTATGTTGATCATGATGTAATTTTTAAAGTTGTCACTAATTCTGTAGAGCAGTGGCATTCTAGATTTCTCAAATACTAGAAAAGTTTTTATATAATTGGTAAGCATGAGTTTAATAAGTCATTTTGCAACTAGGTACTAAATTATACCAAGAACTTTAATTAAATAGCAATTTTAAGTAAAAGTTCACAAAACTACATCCATCATTATTAGTAATAGATGCTATATTGCTGTTGTTGTTGCTATTGGTATGCATTCTATCCTTACTAAATGCCAAGTACTGTTAAAAGTGCATGCCATGAATTTATGTAATATTCAAAACAATCCTGTGAGATAGGTAATATTTTCTTAATTTTGTGGATGAGTCATGGAAGCGGAGTTAATACCCTGAGGTCACACAGCTGTTAACCATGATGCTTTACTCTCCCTGGCTATAGAAGCATATTCCCCTTTCATAGTGAATTATTAATTAAGCTTTATGCTATAGCTGTTAGAGTACTAAAAGGCAACTACTTAAGGAGAAGATGGAAATGTTTTAAAAGTAAATGAAGTGTTACTGTTTTAAGATAAAACATTTACACAAGTTAGATTGGTTTCTATTGGAAAAAAACAACAAAAAACTGAAGACTAATGATTCTGAATATTTGAGTGCATATCTAGTAGTCAGTGCTTACAAATGTTAGAACAGTTTCCTTGAACCAATGAGAATAATGCATTTTTAATTTTCAATGCTAGTCACCCTTCCACTGCTGAAGATAGAGACTTGCTTCTACTGAGCACAATTAGTATATTCAGAACCTTAAAGATTACCTAGGTGAAATATGTAAACCAAGGGAGTCTATTTGAGTGTTACTGAACAGCTGATCTATGATCAGTACTGTGCTGGGTGTCATGAGGTCCTCTTGCACTGAATATATGTCTGTAAGGTTTACAGAGCGTGTTTATATATGTTTTCTCAGTTTGTCATTAAAACAGCTCTAGAAGGTACACAGGCTATTTCCATACCGTCATTCCAGTGAACAAGATATAAATTTAGCTAAAGGCTGTGTCATGTAACTAAAAGTCTGGAGTTTGAATCACTTAGTTCAGATTCTGGCATCCCGATTATATATAGTTCCTTGGCTTTGGGCCAATATACTGATTTCCCTAAACCTTAATTGCCTCACTTGTAAAACAGTAATAATACCTACTTTATAGGATTTGAGGGGTGGTAGTTAGGGTTGTTAAATGTAATATCCGTATTACATACTTACCTAATGAGAAACAGTCACTGTTAAAAGCTGCAATCCCATTATTATTTATAATATAAAAAAATGTCAAAAACTTTACATCAGACCAGATTTCTGGTCAGATGAATAAAACACATTCCTGTTAAAACTGAAATGTTGTTTCTACCCCTGATGTATGAACTCTGACTTTGAGACACTTGGCAGATTAATCAAAAGGAAAGTCAAATCTAGTAGAAAGATCATGACCCATGCATTCAAATAGAGTTATATGCAGGTCCAGGTGCTGGTACTTGTTATCTTCATGTGATAGAACATATCCTTGGAGTGGGGAAGAAAGTAAACTGAGATTCTAGCTTTTCACTTTGGATAACAAACATAAGTTTCTGTTTTCTCATCAATAAAATGGTAATAATGACATACTTTGCAGGGAAGGTTGATTAAGCTTAGAACTTAAGTATACCTAGCAGAGTACTTTGGATATAGTGAAAGTGTAGTTGCTTAGTTATGTCTGATTTTTTGTAACCTATAGAATGTATCTCACCAGGCTCCTCTGTCCATGGAATTCTCTAGGCAAGGATACTGGAGTGGATTGCCATTTCCTTCTCCAAGGGATCTTCCCGATCCAGGGATCAAACCTGGGTCTCCCACATTGCAAGCAGATTCTTTACCATTTGAGCCACAAGAGAAGCCCTTGAATATAATAGTTCTTATTAAATCATAACTGCTCCCATTACTTTTAATAAGGGACTTAACTTCTCTTGGGTTTTCTCATCACAAAAATAGGCCTGATGCTTCAAAGGATTATTGTGGGGATTAAATGAAGTAATAGACTTACTGAGCAAATGTTAAGTACTATACAAATGTTAGTTCCCATCTTCCCTACGTTTATCAGCACAGGGAATAAGGAGAGTGATTTGTAAATATGGGTACAGTGCTGTTATTGTTAATTCAGTTAACAAATTTTAAAGTGAAATTTGAGGAACCCTATGACTGAGACCAGTAGAGTTGTTGGAGCTCACCCATTGATTTTTGGGTCTTCCTTGTTCAGGATTACAGTAAAGTCCAGCACTTGGCTCTCCACGCATTCCATAATACAGAAGTGGAGGCCATGCAAGCAGAAAGTTGCTATCAGTTGGCTAGATCATTCCATGTCCAGGTAAGTTAATTTTACACCCTGGAGTATCTTAATTCTTTAATGGTTTTCCAGATCTTTTAAAAACTTTTGTATATATTGTTGGTCTTGTTTTATTTTCATTTTTTAGGAAGATTATGACCAAGCTTTCCAATACTACTATCAAGCCACACAGTTTGCCTCATCCTCTTTTGTGCTGCCTTTTTTTGGTTTGGGACAAATGTACATTTATCGAGGTGACAAAGAGAATGCATCTCAGTGCTTTGAGAAAGTTTTGAAAGCTTATCCTAATAATTATGAAACTATGAAAATTCTTGGCTCTCTATATGCTGCCTCAGAAGACCAAGAAAAAAGAGATATTGCCAAGGTACATTTTTAAAAGTCTTAGTTATTTTCTGGTAGCTATCCCTAGATGCTCATTTTTTGTTATTGCTTATAGAAATATATTGAACTTGGTTTTGATAGCTGAGTTTGTTCCAGTTGAAATAACAACTGACGTGCTTGCTTCGGCAGCACATATACTAAAATTGGAACGATACAGAGAAGATTAGCATGGCCCCTGCGCAAGGATGACACGCAAATTCGTGAAGCGTTCCATATTTTTCCAGAAAGATAAAGACCATTACAGTATACTAACACATATATATGGAATTTAGAAAGATGGTAACGATAACCCTATATGCAAAACAGAAAAAGAGACACAGATGTATAGAACAGACTTTTGGACTCTGTGGGAGAAGGCGAGGGTGGGATGTTTCAAGAGAACAGCATCGAAACATGTATATTATCTAGGGTGAAACAGAACACCAGCCCAGGTGGGATGCATGAGACAAGTGCTCGGGACTGGTGCACTGGGAAGACCCAGAGGGATCGGGTGGGGAGGGAGGTGGGAGGGGGTATCGGGATAGGGAATACATGTAAATCCATGGCTGATTCTTGTCAGTGTATGACAAAAACCACTACAATATTGTAAAGTAATTAGCCTCCAACTAATAAAAATAAATGAAAAAAAAAAAGAAATAACAACTGACATTAAACAGGGTAGAGTAGCTACCACGTTTTATTTCATAGCCTAGAGTTGGAATGCCTTAGCTTAATGATCTCTTTTTATCCCAGGGCCATTTGAAGAAGGTCACAGAACAGTATCCTGATGATGTTGAAGCTTGGATTGAGTTGGCACAGATCTTAGAACAGACTGATATACAGGTATTTGATCACATTTTTCATCTACCTAATGTGTTTTTGGTAAGTCTGGTATAGTGTTTCTCTCCTTTTCACTTACACCTTATTCCGTCCACCATGAAAATACAGGGTGCTCTGTCAGCCTACGGAACAGCAACACGCATCCTTCAGGAGAAAGTGCAGGCCGATGTCCCCCCAGAGATTCTGAATAACGTGGGTGCCCTTCATTTCAGACTTGGAAATCTGGGTGAGGCAAAGGTAGGAATGAAGGACTAGTTCCTTCTTTTGAACTGTCAAGTTCACTGCACACTTTTTTCGATGTATCAACCAAGTCTTTTCACAATGTAATTTTCTTTTCTTTCTCCTAGAAATACTTTTTGGCATCTTTGGATCGTGCAAAGGCAGAAGCTGAGCATGATGAACATTATTATAACGCCATTTCTGTTACAACGTCATACAATTTAGCCAGGCTGTATGAGGCGATGTGTGAATTCCATGAAGCTGAAAAACTATATAAAAACATCTTACGGGAACATCCTAATTATGTTGACTGTAAGAATTTTAAACTTTATTTTTTGTGTATTAAATGCTCACAACAGCAGCAAAAATTAGCCTGGAAAAAATCTTTCTTGGAACTACTAATAAACAGTTTTAGGGAATTTCCTGGTGGTCCAGTAGTTAGGATTTCTTGATTCCACTGAAGATTAATTCCCTGTTCAGGGAACTAAGATCCTGTAAGCCACACAGTGCAGCAAAAAAAAAAAAAACAACCTATTGAAAAACCAAAACCAACTGTTCTAAAGGTTATACCTTTTCTTCAAAGCAGATTTGTGGCCTTAAAAAAAAAAATGCAGCTTCACTTAAATTTATCCTGGAAACAGAAGGAAACAACTGAAAACCAGTGCGACCATATTTTATAGACTAGTCCATCTTCAGTGGGTCAGCTACCTTTACTAGGCTTTTAACAACTCCTTGACATATTTGGTTATGGGTTTATCTTTATGGTGGGTTCTGTTTTGATTTCTAGTGTTTATAATAGTCATAAAAGACAGTGCCTTTCCTGGAAATAATTATTCCTAAAAATGTTCTACCTTGAGTTTTTGCAACCTGAACAGTGTGAAATTTGAAAAGTTTCTAACTAAAAATAATTTATATGCTGCACTTCCCTTAAAAGAACCTAAAGCTATGATGTTTTGACTCTGGTCAAATCAAGGGCTAGTAACTTGGCCCCTGTCATAACCGTTATGAATAAAAAAGAGATTTTTTAATTTATTTTTTTATTCAACTAAATGAGATTTTAGTTGAATTCCAGGCTTAATTTGAACTGAGTTGATAGGCAATTGTAAACCATCATTGGTTTCTTGAGAGAGTGACATTTTCTGGAAAAAATAACAATTTGACATTTGTGTGGCACTCCTTGGTGGCTCAGACGGTAAAGAATATGCCTGCAATGCAGGAGTCTTGGGTTCAGTCCCTGGGTCGGGAAGATCCCCTGAAGAAGGAAGGACAATCCACCGCAGTATTCTTGCCTGGAGAATCCCATGGACAGAGGATCCTGGCCTCCTACAGTCCGTGGGGTTGCAAAGAGTTGGATACGATTGAGCGGCTGACACTTTGACTTTTAAAATCATTTAAGGGAAAGAGGCATAGTTAAAGCCCAGGTTTTCTAACTAGTAATCCCTTAGTAGTATGTTTTCACTATTGTGATATGCCAAGCACAATGCTGTATATCAGAGAGAAATTGGAAACAAAACAATGCCAAGCTTTTAAAATAACTTAGCTTGAGATAATGACTTGATCCAGAGTGCCGGCTTGGGGGAATGGAGTAGAAGAGAGAATCTGAGATTTCAAACAGGAAGGTTTGATGGTGTCGAAGTTGCACTTTAACTTATTAGATATTTAATTAGCTATATCAATACTTGATATTTTTTCACCTGTGATGTGTTAATGAAAAGCAATTATTTTAAAAGTACAACTTTAAAATTATGATCCTACTTTATAGCTAATATTTTAAACATAAGAACTTGTGTATTTTCAGGCTATCTGCGCCTAGGAGCAATGGCTAGAGATAAAGGAAACTTTTATGAGGCGTCAGATTGGTTTAAGGAAGCTCTTCAGATTAATCAGGTTGGTAATAATAACTCTTGGGTTTGAAAAAATAATTACTTCACCATTTCCTTCAGTAAATCAGTTTTTTCTTTTAATGGCTGTCTAGGTTGGCATCCCTTTTTTTTTAAAATTTACTTTTTAAAGATACTAAAGGGCTTCCCTGAGAGCTTAGTTGGTAAAGAATCAGCCTGCAATGCAGGAGATCCTGGTTCAATTCCTGGGTCAGGAAGATCCGCTGGAGAAGGGATAGGCTACCCATTCCAGTATTCTTGGGTTTCCCTTGTGGCTCAGCTGGTAAAGAATCTGCCTGTAATGAGGCAGACCTGGGTTTGATTCCTGGGATGGGAAGATCCCCTGGAGAAGGGAAAAGCTACCCACTCCAGTATTCTGGCCTGGAGAATTCCATGGGCTATATAGTCCATGGGGTTGCAGAGTCAAATACAGCTGAACAACTTTTTACTTCACTTTAAAGGGTGTAGAGTCATCTAGATGTTTGGATTGTGGCCCACAGTGAGAATTAGATTTCATGTCACAGCCTACACACACACATGTGTATACAAACAGCTGAGATCAAAGTTTTACAAATCAATATGAGTTCTTGCCCTAGGCAGTGCATTGATATTTTTACTGTATTCCATTTTATTGCATTTCTTATGCTAATAACTGAACACTAAATTGATTTTACAAGTCATTAATCCATCTCAGCTCTCAGTTTGAAAAACACTGTTGTAAATGTAGCCTATAAACCTCTCCAGGAATCAGCTGTTGTGGAAAGATGGTTGATCTCCGAATCCAAATTACACATTTTGCTTCTTCTTATATGTGTGTTTTTAGGACCATCCAGATGCTTGGTCTTTGATTGGTAATCTTCATTTAGCAAAACAAGAATGGGGTCCAGGCCAGAAGAAATTCGAGAGGATATTAAAACAACCAGCTACTCAGAGTGACACTTATTCTATGCTGGCCCTTGGCAACGTCTGGCTTCAAACTTTGCATCAGCCCACCCGAGATAGAGAAAAGGTAATCTCTTTTCATTTCTTTAAAACAAAGTTGATGCTTACTTGATTGTTATTTGAATTTTTAAAATAATCTTTTTACAGGAAAAGCGTCATCAAGATCGTGCTCTGGCTATCTACAAACAAGTACTCAGAAATGATGCAAAGAATCTATACGCTGCTAATGGCATAGGTAATTATAAGATTTGGATATCCATAATTGTGAAATAAATGCTTTTGGAAGGATGCTTGTAGATCAGAATTTCTCTCTAGTTGTTTTTCTGGCTACAAATAGGAAGTTCTAATTCCGTGAACCTTTTATAACTTTAGGAGCTGTTTTGGCCCACAAAGGATATTTCCGTGAAGCTCGTGATGTATTTGCCCAAGTAAGAGAAGCAACAGCAGATATCAGTGATGTGTGGTTGAACCTAGCACACATCTACGTGGAACAAAAGCAATATATCAGTGCTGTTCAGATGGTAATGTTTTATTTTTCAAAATATTTTTATTTTGTGGTCATTGTTGAGCAGTTGTTTTCTTAACCATTCTGGCCCCGTCTGTTTAGAGGCTTATAATTTTATAAGGTTAAGACCAGTCTTTGAAGTCCAGACAAAGATGCGAGTCCTGACTCCACCATTAATTGCGCATCTTGGGCATGCCTCTGTAAGACAGAAGTACTTGTACCTTCAGTTCAGTCACTCAGTCGTGTCCGACTCTTTGCGACCCCATGAACTGCAGTACGCCAGGCCTCCCTGTCCATCATCAACTCCTGGAGTTCACCCAAACCCATGTCCATCGAGTCGGTGATGCCATCCAACCATCTCATCCTCTGTCATCCCCTTCTCCTCCTGCCCTCAGTCTTTCCCAGCATCAGGGTCTTTTCAAATGAGTCAGCTCTTTGCATCAGGTGGCCAGAGTATCAGAGTTTCAGCCTCAACATCAGTCCTTCCAATGAACACCCAGGACTGATCTCCTTTAGGATGGACTGGCTGGATCTCCTTGCAGTCCAAGGGATTAAGAGTCTTTTCCAACACCGCAGTTCAAAAGCATCAATTCTTTGGCTCTCAGCTTTCTTTATAGTCCAACTCTCACATCCATACATGACCACTGGAAAAACCATAGCCTTGACTAGACGAACCTTTGTTGACAGAGTAATAATGTCTCTGCTTTTTAATATGCTGTCTAGTTGGTCATAACTTTCCTCATAGAATTTTATGAGGATCCAGAATGAAAAATACTTGGCACTAATTTGCCGAGCATAGCAGTAAGTGCCAGAAGATAGTGGGATTTATTATTCATTTGGGCTTCCCTACTGGCTCAGCTGGTAAAGAATCTGTCTGCAATGCAGGAGACCTGGGTTCGATCCCTGGGCTGGGAAGATCCCCTGGAGAAAGGAACAGGTACCCACTCTAGTATTCTGGCCTGGAGAATTCCACGGACTGTGTAGTACATGGGGTCGCAAAGAGTTGGGCACGATTGAGCAATTACTCATTTGCTCATTTTATCCTCTTCCTTCTCAGATGAGAGAACTGCATTACAGAAAGGTTAAAAGACATTTAAAAAGAAAAATCTCCCTCCATGGGAATAAGTTTTCATAGCTAGAGATTCTTGTTATGCTTTTCATATTTGTTGATTACTTGAAGTAAAAGAGTCATGCCCAGCATCTTTAGCATAGTGAGCATCTTTAGCATACCTAGTGAGAAAGGAAAAATGCTCTTACTGAAATTATTATGGCCAGAAAAAAAACAAGTTTCTGACCAAAGATAGAAGACATGAGCAATCCAGGCTCTGGGAAGTAGTTAACCATTTTTTCTAAAAAGGATGAGTATTATTATTATTATTGGAAAGGTAACTAGTCACAAGGATTTACAGAACCCTGATTGCATATGGTAGTCTCAGAGGTTGTATTTTTGGAGATCAGCCTTCTTGGTCTGCAAATCAATTGCTAGGAATAGTCAGGGAAAAACCATCTAACTGTCTTCACCGAGAAGAACTTGCCTATGACAGGATATGTTGCATGGTCAGAAACTGACATGTTCGTGGCAAAATTAATACCAGTATTGCTATATTAATTTTACTAAGAAATTAACAACCAGAACTGTGAGGCTTCTCATATTGATTGCCAGTAGGTTCCACCAGTCCTAAAGAAAGGTGGTAGAGCACCATAGGCGCCAGGTGTATGACTTCTGATAAATCATCAGTCAGTCTTTTCTAGATTGTATTGCTAGAGATACAAAAAAAGACCTTCCGTTTCACCTTTCAGTGTTGGTCCATATTTCAAATGGAAAGACTGTTTCGAGTATGTAATTTTTCTTGTCAGATTTCTATGTTGTGAAAATGTATGCTGGTGAATGTCAAGAATCAGTCTCAATTTAGTCTTTGAAATTAACCATCCAGAAGATAAAATACCTTTTCACATAGCTTTAAAATTGCTTGAAATTTTGTTATAAAATAATAATATCATGTAATCGTTGTGCTTTAATTAACTTTTTCTCTTGTTGTAGTATGAAAATTGCCTCAGAAAGTTTTATAAGCACCAGAACACAGAAGTTGTGCTGTATTTGGCCCGGGCCCTCTTCAAGTGTGGCAAGTTACAGGAATGCAAACAAACCCTGCTGAAGGTAAAAAAAGAGAACTCAGTTCTGTGCTGGTTTGTATTTTTCACTCTGTTTTACCCATGCTTACATGCCTAATACTCTAACTAAAATTCTTTTCATGTCTTTATAACATATGAAAAATTTGCTTTGTTTTTATTTATAGGCTAGACATGTGGCACCCAGTGATACAGTTCTTATGTTTAATGTGGCCTTGGTCCTACAAAGATTAGCTACCTCTGTTCTGAAAGATGAAAAGAGTAATCTGAAGGAAGTACTTAATGCTGTGAAGGAACTGGAGCTTGCACACAGGTAAGATTTTGTACCTGTTTTCCAAACAACCTTTGAAATTGTTTGTTTAAACCCATATGTCTCAAAGGAGAATCATTCTCTAGTAGAATCATTCTGGCAACTTTTAAACCAAAGCAGACAGCTGCCACTAGGTCGTCAAACCATAGCCAGGATCCTGCTAGAATTGGATACTGTAGCCCGACCCCTATAACTGGCTAGCTTTACAGACTTGCCCTAGATTTTATTAATCTGAGAGTAATATGACCCAGCATTTTACACACTAGAAACTTTTAGACTCCACTTACATTGGTTTTACCTGTTATACCACTGTCTTCTTTGAGATATTAGTTTTCCTTGAGCTAAGATTAAGGCTTTTCCTCTTAAATAACTGAATAAGTTTATTTGGCTCAACTCAATTTATGTAACTTTATAGTATTTAGTTGGTAACTCAGTGTTTGTTAAAGTTAAAACCTGACATCTCTTCAGGTTTTATCCAACCTTCTTTTGAGTTCTTGTTTTAAGTAGTTTTACCTTGCCTAGTAAATTATATGTGCTTTCATGGCTTAAGCCTCCTAACCTCCATGCTGACATATTTAGTAAATCTGGTGTTTAGTAAATATTAGTTGCTGGAATTGATTTTTGGTTGTTTGTGAATTTACTGATAATGTTAAATATAACTTTATCTTCATGAACTTGCTAGTATTGCGTGGTATGTTATTTAGAGTTCTTTTTAAGTGAGTTGTTTATGTGTTTTTCCTATTGAGATGACAGCCCTTTGTGAATACATTTAAGTATTAAGTGTTCATTAATTTCAGTCAGTATGTAAGCCTTCTCTCAAACTTTTTTTTGAAAACAGATTAAAAATCTAAAGGGTCTGTTTCATTAATTTTTTTTTTTTACATATTTTATTTTCTCATTTCATTTAGGTATTTCAGTTACTTGAGTAAAGTGGGAGATAAAATGAGATTTGATTTGGCCCTTGCTGCTACAGAAGCCAGGTAATGTTATTATTTATGGAAGGTGACTTTGGGTGAGGTAGTGATATCCGTATGGACTGGGAGAGTGACACAGTAGTGAGGGATTCTGACCTTCTAGGCATCAGTCTTTCACACTCCTCTCTGGGACTTCCTCCCTGGGCCGAGGCTTTTTCTTGAGGGTTCTTTCAGGGAATATGCCAAAGTTAATTTAGTTCAGGTCCTGAAGTTATATGGGAAAAGACTTTTCTATTTCACTAACATCAGCTTGTGGTCAGAATCAAGATATGATTCCCGACTATGAGTTACATGTGAAGATATTGTTGGGAATCTTTTTAGCTGAGCTTTGGCAAGATAGTTATAATTTGGAAACTTAAAATAGTTGACAGTATTGGCTTATGAGAAATTAAGTTAATTTTGCTAATTAAGACTTCCTATAGGTGTCACCTAATGATCCTGCTTCAAACTTTTAAATATGTGTAAATAATGTAATGCTCTGAGTTTTAAATAAAAAGTATACTAGCTGCATTCATATTTCTCGAAACTGGGAACCTTCTAGGCAATGCTCTGACTTACTGAGCCAGGCGCAATACCACGTGGCCCGGGCACGCAAACAAGACGAAGAAGAAAGGGAGTTGCGGGCCAAACAAGAACAAGAGAAAGAACTGCTAAGGCAGAAACTTCTCAAAGAACAGGTATTTCTTGTGTTTGCGGTGATAACTAGAATTAAACGTGTGCATACATACACTTTGTATGTTAGAAAAAGTTCTTTTGATGATAGCCATGGTTTTATGGTCATAAGAACATTTTGATGAGATTTTTCCCTACCCTTTTTTCCTCATAGGAAGAGAAACGTCTCAGAGAAAAAGAAGAGCAAAAGAAACTTTTGGAACAGCGGGCCCAATATGTAGAGAAGACCAAAAATATTCTTATGTTTACTGGAGAGACTGAAGCAACAAAAGAAAAGAAAAGAGGTGGTGGTGGTGGACGGGTAAGATATGACTCCAGCTAGAAATGAAGTTAATTGATTAAATTCACTCAATGTTTAGTCGAGCTTTGGCTTTCTCCTTTGCTAACAGATAGTCTTAAACACAGAATGCTTTAAATGGTATCTAGTATTTAGAAATGCACTTCAGTGTTAGTTTTAGTATAGTTTATCTTGTAGCAACCTTGCAGTTGATGATCTTTGCTATGAGAAACATTCATCCCAATTAGCAGTCTTTAAAGTATGGGCCTCACCTTGCACCTTTTCCATGTGACTCAGAGGACTGATGACATGAGGCCTATTTCATACAGCTGTATTCTACCAGCCAGGAAAGCACTGACTGTGGTCTCGTTTGGATTTCAGCGTTCCAAGAAGGGAGGAGAGTTCGATGAATTTGTCAATGATGACACCGATGAGGACCTTCCTGTCTCCAAAAAGAAGAAGCGAAGGAAGGGCAGTGGTAGTGAGCAAGAAGGCGAGGAAGAGGAGGGTGGCGAGAGAAAGAAGAAGAAGAGGAGAAGGTAGTGTCATGGAATAACCTTTTAAATCACCTCATGAAAGTGGGAAAACACTGTTCACCTTCTGAATGTTAGGTTTAGAATTTGGGAACACCTGGTAATCTGTTAATCCACCCAGACAGAAACCTTTAATTCTCCTGCTTCCTACTTTAATCCTAAAATGGACCCCAATTACCAAACACTACAGATTTCCTTCTGAGAGCTCTGAGCCAGTCATAATTGCCTTTCTTATGTCTATAAAATTGCAATTCTTAATTGGAAAACCTATGCAATTTAGAATGAGAAAAGTTAGTGGGTCCATGCCAACTGTCCATCTTAATAACCTTACAAAAGCCCCAAACCAGTCAGTTTTTCTCTGTAAAATGGTGAGAGTCATGGCTCACTTCAAGTTTCACAGGATGTGTAAAATGTGAATTTAGCTGAAAGAAGGGAAGAAGGGCTTTTAATCTTCCCATGCCATCCACTGTTAGGATAAGTGATGCCTTGTCCTCTCTTACCTGGAGGGGGCCCTTGAACTTTCCCACTCCTCTCATGGTGCTTCCTTGTCCAAGAACCTCCAGGATTACCTAAGCCTGTTCTTCCCAACCCGAGGCTGACTCTGCTTGTGGAATTCAGTCAGACACACTGACCTGTGGAATTGAAGCTGTGGCTGAATATTAGCAGACCTAGGATGAGTAGTTGGGAAGGAAGGAAGAGGAGGGGGAAGATGTTGAGTCTGGAGCCTGGATCTTTTCTCACATCCTCTATCACTCACCAAGGGCAAGATCTGAGCTTGTCTTACATTCATTGAGAGGGCTTAACAGTGACTCACGTAGTCAGCAGACTTTACATAAATCCATGATTTATTTGTATGGCAGACTGCTGAGCCTTGTGCAGCAACTGTAAGTTGTGGCCTCTCCCCTTGACAGGCGCACAGTCTGCTTGCAGTTAGCACCCATAGAGAAGGGTGTTGAGAATGACTCATACTATTTGGATGGCAAAGAAGTCTTGGGCTTTATAGGCATATGAGTGAATCTTGACATACTTTCTTTTGGTATTCACTATAGACCTCCGAAGGGAGATGAAGGATCTGATGATGATGAAACAGAAAATGGCCCCAAACCGAAGAAGCGCCGTCCACCAAGAGCAGAGAAGAAGAAGGCTGTAAGTGTCCAACATGTTTTTGTGTCCCTGGTAGGCATAAAAGATGTCTGCTAGACTACATCCTTCTCCTGCAGTGTCTTCAAGCACAGATGCTTGTTTTTGAAGTTTGCTGGTTGCTGTTTGATTGTATCATTGCAGTGCAAACCCAATTTAACATGACATCCTAACAAAAGAGTCTTCACTAAGCTATTATGTGTGTTCTTTCTTTAGCCCAAGCCAGAACGTCTGCCTCCTTCAATGAAGGGAAAAATAAAATCGAAAGCCATAATATCATCAAGTGATGATTCGTCTGATGAAGATAAGCTGAAAATTGCTGATGAAGGGTAGGAATTTTTTGCTTGGTGTGTTCTCCTAATGAAAGATAACAGAGAGTGGTCACTCTGACAGAATGTCATCTCTGTAGTTTCTCAGAATCTTAGAACTGGAAGACACCTTATCACACACCTCATTCTGATCTTGTCATTTTGTCTACCAAATATTTGTCCCTTACAGAAGGAAACCTATTTTGAAACCTCCTTTCTTCATGGATATTAGTTGAAATTTTCTATATGACATCCTCCTACACAAAATGTATCATTTTGCTACACTGCCATTGACTGGCTTAAAGTATTAGGAGTAGCTGGATCTTGATCACAGGAAGAGAGGCACTTTCTTGACCATTTCGTCCCTCGTCAGGCAGGGATGACTCAGCACTGCCTGCCTGTGGAGGGCTTATCCTGCACTCCTTTAGCTTACAGCCCACTTGGTCAAACAATATTCTGTTTTACTTGTCCTGAACTTGCCCCTGAAGCTCCACATTTGGATTCCTAGACTAGGACTCTTAATACCATACTACGCCTTGTTCTTCTGACGGCCATCATTTCACTGACAGCCATCATTTCATTCATTCATCCAACAGATATTTGAACATCCATGTTATGAGATGAGTGCTAAGTGCTCCGAGGAAAAAGACATTGACCCTGCCCAAAGGAATTTGTGCTTTAGAAACAGTAGAGAATGACAGATAAACCAAAACTACATTATACTGGGGAAAGTATTATCACTTATATTTTCTATTTATTGCTTGCCAGGGACCATATGTAATCTGGAGTTGAAGTAGTGAGGGTTATTACTAAGATATATTTTGTAAAAGGTTGTTTAAGTCTTTTAGAAGAATAAAGAGTCCTAATCACCTGTACTTCAATTAAAAAAAAAAAACAGTAATAAAAAAAGCTTTTTAAATAAAAGAAAGAGAGGGAGGCCTGGTTGGTTAGAGGTGAGGTAGCAGTGAGAGGTTAGCATGTTGAAGGGCTAGGGGTCTGCAGAGGGGCTAGCCTGGTAAGGTAAAGCATCTGTGAAGATGTTCGGTTCCTGTTTTCTCTGAAGATACTGGTTGACACAGATTTGGATTGCTTTTCTATAAACCACTGGCCCTTGCCCACAGTGTTATCCTGGTCCATTGATTAGAGGTAGAGGCGTGATGGTTAAACCCTCAGGAAGTGTTTCCTTCTTTAGCCAGATGGAACAGAGTGAATTAGATTCCAGGGGCCCACTGGTACTTGGTGTATATACGGAATGAATATCTTGCATCCTCTTCTCCATCATGCTTCACATCCTTTCAGAGTGACCTGAGTTACATGATGTGTATCTAGGTTTCTTTCAGATGTAAACACAAAGACCCTCTCTTCAGTCTGTAGGGATGTTTTCATTGCTGGGTAGAGTAATCTGTTTCACCTCCATCACCCTTCTTAGACTGACCCTGTAGGATTTAATGTTCCTTTTTTGGAATATTTGTCATGGAAACCAAAACCAAGGAATATGCCAGAGGAGAAACATGTCCCTCCTGGTGAGCGCAGTGCAGTAAGGGGTTGGGGTGAGGGGGTGGGTAGCAGCTGTCACGGTGGTTAAGGGAAAGGGAACGTTTGTTCCTGCAGGAAGCCAAGATTCCCTTGCCACCACCATCCCGAGCATTTGCACAAGTCCCTTCCCTTTAACATTTGGTATGTAGAGGAGAAACTTGGGCAAAAGTAAATAAGCAGGCAGCAGAACCCCCTTAGCCCAGCTTCCTATCTAGAGTAAGTCTAGTCGTGTTGGAGGGCATCAGAGCAGAAGCAAATCCCAGAATAGGAATGGTGACTTGGCTCCTTGGCCAACTCCTACACAGATGGGACAGGGGATCCCCACTCAGCCAACCCTTGGAAGAGGGTTCATGTCCTGAGTCTCTGCAGCCAAGTGAGGTCCTAGGTTTTACCTTTGCTGCTATGGATTTGCTTATAAAGATAAATGTATTCCTTCCTTACCTGATTTTACATGTGAAATTGAGAAATGCTTCATTCTGATGAAACTGCCTGGTATGACCAGTGAGAGTCATCCTTCACTGTTTTTATTCTGTCTTAGAACTAAAGTGCCTTATTCTTTTCTCCTACTTAATCCCCTTTTTATTATGAACAGCATCTCATTTACCAAAAAAAGTACACCAAAGAAATATCTTAGTACAAACACCAATCAGGTCCAGAATATTCTGCCCTTCTCTTTTAAAAGCGCATCCCCTGCTTCTCAGGTGTTGTCTGCCGGAGCCTGGTGTGTAACGAGCATTTCTCTTTGCCAGGCATCCCCGCAACAGCCACAGCAACAGCGACTCGGATGAGGGCGAGCGGCGGAAGGGCGCCTCCTCGGAGAGCGACTCGGATGATGAGAACCAGAACAAGTCCGGCAGCGAGGCCGGCAGCCCCCGGCGGCCCCGGAGGCCCCGCTCTGATGAGGATTCGGACAGCGACCAGCCGGCCAGGAAGCACAGGCCCTCAGGCTCCGAACAGTCGGACAACGAGTCCCTGCAGTCAGGGCGGAGCCGCTCCGCAGGCTCTGAGATGGACTCCCGGCCAGCGTCTCCGAGCGCCGAGTCGGACCACGACTCCGAAAGAGCATCTGACAATGAGGGCTCCGGCCCAGGTTCCGGAAATGAATCTGAACCCGAGGGATCCAACAACGAGGCCTCAGATCGGGGCTCCGAACGTGGTTCAGATGATAGCGACTAGGCATTATTTCATGAATACGCTTCATCTCTGCAGGAAACTTTTTTTTAACATATGAAAGCTGTGATTAAAAACATTTCAGGTGTTTGGTCCGTGGTGAAATTTTTCCTAAGGCAATTTTTTCCCCTATCCATTCGTACATTACTATGACCGCAAGAGATGTTTCCCGTGTTAGAGTCCAATATTTGATTCTCTTGAGCAAAAGGTGACTATTCTTCATTATGGTACAATTCCACCTATCATATGTGAAAACCCCAGAAAAATAAACCCACATGCTGAAGCATTCCTACAGAGTTTTGACTGCCTACAACAGTGGCGCACATGTCATCTTTGTATCTTAAGCAGTATACTGTTTGGATTTCTATTACAGTCTTTTACCAAGTGGTGTGAGAAGCTTGGTGTTAATGTCTTTTTCCATTTCAAGCTTAGATCAAGAATATTTTTATTTTCTGGAGAAAGAGGTATCTACTGTATAATTGCACCAAAGTACAAATGAAAGTTTTCTTCAATAGGGTAATACTGCAGCCATGTAGATAAACCACAAATATATCGTTTGTTAGGTTGACTAAGATGTGGGAAAATGCTTTTCTGTTAGTAGAATGCAGAGACCTACCTAAGCCACATAATAAAATTCTTTTACCAATTTTTATGTGTAAACTTTGTGTCATTTGGGGGGCGGGGGAGGGCAGTACATTTGTATATGAAAATTTAGTATCAATAAACTGCAAATATTTGGAAGAACCTGAATTAAAATGAAGGCTGTTTACTCAAAAGTTTTGTAAATCTTTGTAGATTTCTGGAGTGTTATTAAAGATGCAAGAAGCTATTTATGGGGACTTTCTTGGCAGGCCAGTGGTTAAGTCTCTGGGCTTCTCATGTAGTAGGGGTGGGTTCAGTGTCTGGTTGGGGAACTAAGGTCCCACACGTAGTGTGGCTCAGCCAAAAAATTAAAAAAACTACAGTAGCCAAGACATGGAAGCAACCTGAGTGTCCATCAACAGATGAATGAATAAAGAAAATGTAATATGTATAATGCATATACAATGCATTGTAATTGAATACTACTCAGCCATAAAAAAGAATGAAATATTGCCACTTGCTGCAATGTTGACCTAGAGATTATCATACTAAGTGAAATAAATCAGAGAAAGACAAATATATGATATCACTTATATGTAGAATCTAAAAAGTAGTAAATAGGAATTTGTTTACAAAACAGACTGATAGACATAAAAAACCGTTACCAAGGGGGGAAGGAGAGAAAGGATAAATTAGAAGTATGAGATTTAGGAGATACACACTACTATACAACCAGGATTTGCTGTATAGCATGGGGAACTATAGTCAATATCTTGTAATAACCTATAGTGGAAAAGAATCTAAAAAATTATATTCATAACACATACATATTCACAATATATATTCATATATATATGAATCATTTTGCTGTACTGAAACTAACACAGTATTGTAAATGAACTATATTTCAAATGAAAAAGATGTTTTAATATGTAAGATCAAGGTGCTAGTATGTACTTTTATGTTCAGTACCTTTTGTGGTTAACGACTTAAGGATTATCATTTTATGTAGCACTGAACAGTTTGTAAAAAGAACTGCAATTAGTCAGCAAGTATGAAACGCATTATAGAAGGCATTGAGAACAGAGATCAAATGTCTTTCCTCAAATGGAGTGATATTTGCACAGGTTATGGAGCAAAGGGAGAACAAAGTCAAGGCAAGGTATCCTGAAGGACAGACTTGAAGCAACTCACCCAGTGGAGAGTTAAGGGAGGTGTTCTCTGCATGTGCAACTCAAGGAACTAGAATAACTAAAGGAAGGAAGGTGGATATTAACCCCACCCACTGTGAAACATGACAAGCCTGAGATTCAGAATCTATAATAGCAAAGGTGAGGTTCAGACTATACTCCAGGTCCTCTGTCTACTGTCTCCCTGCTTTTTCCAATATGTCGCATGTAACTTGGGGTGACATAGTTAATCCCCAAATGATAAATCCAACTACTGGGTAATAGTCATTTCCTAAATGATGCCTCACTTCAAGCAATAACTAAAGTCTATTGGTAGAAGTTCCCTTGGAGAGCCATTTATGGAAAGATTTAACCTAATGAGGAGAGTGTTTTCCCTAATACTCCACTGCCCACTTCAGGTTTTGACTAGGATGGTGCTTTGGAGTACAGTTCCAAAGCACTTCTGCACTTCTAAGTCAGTTCCACCTCGTATGGCTCTTTCTTCCAGGTAAGCCCTCAGATCCGCAGAACGGGAATATTCTCCGACAGTCACTTTGGTCATGTCAGAAGCCACTGTGTGGGTCCTTCAGGTGCAGTTCCCTCTGGTCTTAGTGAGGAGCCTGGAGACCAGGGAGCAGGGAAGGCCCCTGAGGATGGGGAGACCCTTCTGACGAGGGAAACCTGACTGGCCTGCTGCCTTTGCTCTGCTGCTGCTGCTCCCAGGGACTCAGCAGCCCCACTGCCTGGAGCCTGTGTGTCTGGCTCCGCCTCTTCCTCTTTTTCTTTTTTTTGGAGGTGTTATTGACATATAATATGATGTTAGTTTTAGGTGATTTGATATTTGTATTGCAAAATGATCACCACATTTAATCTAATTAACATCTGTCATCTGACGTTACAAAAATGGAAACAATATGGACATTCCTCAAATAATTAAAAATAGAACTGCCATACAGATGCAGAAATTCCACTCCTGCGTATTTATGAGAAGAAAATGAAACAGTAATTCAAAAAGATGTATGTCCTCACTATGTTATATAAGGGTTCCTGCGCCTCGCTGGCCTCCTCACCCCATGGCTCAGCAGTAAAGAATCTGCCTGCAATTCAGGAGCACACTTTTGATCCCTGGGTCAGGAAGATCCCCTGGAAAAGGGCATGGCAACTCAATCCAGTATTCTTGCTGGAGAATACCATAGACAGAGGAGCCTGGCAGGGTTCAGTCCATAGGGTCGCAAAGAGTCGTATACAACTGAACCAGCTTAGCACACACACATTATATATTGTAAATACGAAGCATTATTAACAATAGCCAAGATATTAAAACAATCTAAGTGTCCATCAGCAGATGAATGAATAAAGAAGATGTGATACACACACACACACACACACACACACACAAAATGGAATGCTGCTCAGCCACACACAAAGTCTTGCCATTTGCAACCACTCAGGTGGACCTTGAGGGCATTATGCTAAATGAAATAAGTCAGAAAAATATCCTATGATCATGTATATGTAGAATCTAAAAAACAAAGCCAAACAAACCTAAGCTCATAGACACAGAGAACAGATTAGTAGTTGTCAGAGGCAGGTGTGGAGGGGGGGGGATGTAGGTGAAAGGGTAAAGGAAGTCAAAATGTACAAACTTCCAGATAAGTCATGGGATTTAATGTGCAGCATGGAGACTATAATTAATAATACTGTAATGCATATTTGAAAGAGGAGATCTTAAAAGTTCTTATCACAAGAAAAAAAAATGTTTTGTAATGATACACGGTTACAGATGAACTTAATTGTTAATCTTGCCCTAGCTCTTGGATGTCTCTCAGACCTTGGTGCTTGTCCATACAGCCTGCTTTATTTTTAATAGATTCTAGCAGGTGAGAGTCTGCTGATACCTGTCAGTGTCTCAAAAGAGAGGACCAACATTCTAGATTAAGGCTGACTGGAAACCAGACTCTCCGGCAGCAGCTCTGATGATAAACTAATAGGCCTCTTCCACAAAAGGGCTAAATGACTGGACCTGTCCCCTGATGTTGTGCGCTGAGGGTGGAAGGTATTTAAGATACAGGTGAGCTAGCAAGGCGGAGAGAGAATGCAAAAATGGCATCAGGCCTTAGCTTCCCCAGAAGGGCCCTTGAAGTGTGCCTGCCCCTCAGGCCATAACATCTGGTCAAGAAAATAGGCGTCTTTCGACAGAAAGAGGGGGTAAGTTTCAATCTGCTGTCTGTACCGCTGGGGGTGGGGTGGATGTGTGCCAAAGATAACCACTTATCTGATTGTTACAGCCCCCTGGGCCCCAGGAACTAACCCCACCGCCAGAACCAGGCAATGGAGGAGGTGTTCCCTGGGCTACAGCTGTAAACACTGGGTCACCAGATGTAAAAACCTGGGCACCAGACGAGGGTGACTTTTCCCCTCCAGGAGATGCTGGCTCTGGAGGGCAGCGAGCGAGCAAAGATGGTGTCCAGCTGGAGCAAGGCCAGCGGGGTAAGTTCAGGGCTGGCATTGACAGAAAAAAAAAAAAGATTTTAAAACAAAGATTTTTTTTTAAAGATAAAAAGAAAAAGAGTGTTCCTGTTGGCTTTAGCAAGGCAGAAGGAGTGATGAAGGATCCACCAGCTTCCATCCCTTGAGAGTACCCCGGCAGGCCAGGGGCCCTCAGTCCAATGCTTTAAAATCAGCAAATGAACTTTGCTCAGGTAAACTCTGGGCACTTTTCAGAGTCTGCTCTCTGCGGGACCCTGGGGTGAACCAGTCTGCACGTGAACTCTTCAGGAGACACTTCTCAGGATGCCACGGCCCCACAGGTCTTTGGGGGCATGAGCTGTTGGTTTTCAAAGCTAGATGGATTGGGGGCTTGCCTAGGAGCAGGTCTTAAAGGTTGGGTTGCACGAAGTGGGGTCCAAACCCTCTGCTCAGGGAGAAGCTCTGGGTTGGAGTTCCCTTCCCATTGTGGGTTGGCGGTTTATAATGAAACTGTGTCTCAGCATTTGCCACCCAATTTAATGTGGTCTTTTTCTCATGTACCCAATACAAAGGAGTTTTTCTGCTAGTTTTTAGGGTTTTTTCCCAGAGAAAATTGTCCCATAGGTAGCTATAGATTCAGCATTCCCATGGAAAGAGTTCAAGACCCTTCAAGTCCCCTACTTGAACTGGAATCTTGGCCTTCCATTTCTTGGTGAAATGGTTAAATGGCTTGGGCTTCACTGGTGGCTCAGATGGTAAAGGATTCACCTGCAATGCAGGAGACCA